TAGGAGAAAATTTACTCATATTTTAAATATGAACAAACTCTAAATAAACATAATGTTTATCTACAACTGCTCAGCAAGTTACATCATGTACTATCCGTTCTACATATTTGTTTTGTAGGGGTCCTGATTCAGTGAACGAGCTATTTTTTACGCTCGGGGACAAGATCGCCCAGGAAGGACAAAAGGATCATCCTCCGGGTGGTCCCACCACCTGGCATTCAGACTTCGTCGCTGACCAGTTGGTCAGACTGTTCCGCGCTCACTTTGTCGCCGACCAGTTGATTGGGCTGCTCGATGCTTGATTCTTCGCCAACTAGCTGGTCGGATTGTTCGTCGCTTTATCGTCAGCTACGATGGAGGCTCGCCAGCTAAGCTGGGGACTCCTTGGCATTCGGATTGTTCGTCGCTTTATCATCAGATATACTGGGGGGTTCACCAGCTAAGCTAGGGACTTATCGGCGTTAGGTTTGTTCGTCGCTTCATCATCAGCTGCGTTGGAGGTTCGCCAGCTAAGCTGGGGACTCCTCGGCGTTCGGATTATTCATCACTTCATCGTCAGCTACTGTCGGGTATCAGTATTAGGGATACCCAAAGAGGGGATCTGAGGACCACGGACGACGACTCGCTTAGATAATGAAGGACGTGTTTCAGTCTCGACCGACCCCGATGGAACGGTCTCCATCTCGCCTGACCCTGAGGGCACGGGTCCCGTGTCGCTCGACCCCTTGGGCACAGGCCCTGTGTCGCCCAACCCCAAGGGTACGGGCGCCATCTCGCCCGACCCCTTGGGCACGGGTCCCGTGTCGTCCGACCCTAAGGGTACGGGAGCCATGTCGCCCGACCCTGAGGGCACGGGCTCCGTCTCGCCCGACCCTAGGAGCGCAGGCTCCGTATCGCCCGACCCCAAGGGAATGGGAGTCGTCTTGCACAACCCTAGGAGCGCAGGCTCCGATCGCCCGACCCCAATGGAACAGGAGCTGTCTCGCCCGACCCCTGGGGCACGGGCTCTGTCTCGCCCGACAGGGACCCATACCACCTTCAACCACTACGGGTCAGAAGGTATGACCTCGGGGTCAAACTTCTGACATCGGGCAGGAAGCAGGCAAGCCTCGACGTGACCCATGGCCACATCAGGCCACGCCTAGGAGTTCACATTACCAACAGTGATAGGTGCATGGTCGTTGTGCTGCCTACTCCAGATATGGCTGCTAACGGGCACGTCGGTTCACCACGCCGTCCGCCGGGACAGGACGGGATGCCACGACCAGCTGATGACGCCAGGGCATGGCACCAGTGGTGAACAGGAGCCCGACGTGGAGCCATCCTCATCATCATCTAAAGCGTCAGCGGGACCCACAAAAAGGAGAAGAAGGACGCGGTGGCCCTGGAGGCCTTCTTCTCCCTCGCTTTACTCCTTTCTCTCGGTAACCTGCGCTTTCCCCTTCACCTATAAAAGGGGAAGCAGGATGACCCCAAGAAGAGGCGAACAGAAAATGAGCACATGGCTGACAAGCTCAACTAGACTCAACTCCATTCGACCTTTTCACCAGAGACTTGGGACCTTCTTCCTCTCTCGCCCGTTTATAACCCCTACTAGAAACTAAGTGCCGGTAACACGAGCAGCAACAGACTGGACGTAGAGATATTCCGCCCGAACCAGTATAAATCCTTGTGTCCTTCGAGCACACCATCCGGGTCAGATGCACAGATACAAATTTACTAGCCGGTGATCCAAAACACCAACAGTTGGCGTGCTAGGTAGGGCTTTTTGCCCGTCTCGACGTCCACATCAGGCCTCGGATGGCTGGTCACGGCGTCAGTTGGGTCCCGGGCGCACACGTGCGCTTTAGGAAACTAGACTTCACCATCATGATAGAGGGAGAGTTGGTGCAGGCTCCCGCCGCCGTCCAGCCTCTCCACTTCGCCGGCCTCGACGCGATTGTCGAGGCGCTTGAGGAGCTGTAGCTGCACACGTCTGAGGCCCATGCCCTCAGGAGCGACCAGCTCCTCAGCTTCAATTATGGGAGGCTAGAGCGCCAGCTCGACGCCTTCCTAGGACCCCGACCGTCTAGGGGGGACCTACGTTGCCTCACCTTCTCGTTCGCCAATGTCATGACGCAGCTTGCTGGAGAGAAACCGCTCTCCCTATAATACCTCAACCAGAGCACCCTGACAGCATTCCCGTTCGGTCTACGCAACACCGCAAGGATCGTTGGCCACCTTGTGGCGCAGCGCATGCACCCATCCCCTACGAACGACGAGTTCCTAGGGATGAACGAATACATCGCGGAATCTTTCCACGACCTTCTCGCGGGAGATTCAGAGTCGCTCTTTGACTCTGACTCTGGCAGGGGGAGCCATCACCCCTCGCAAGAATGTTTTATGGTAGGTACCCCTGAGGGACGCGTCAAAAGTGTCCACGAGGGAGGAGCTACCCCACCAAACGACCTCGATGACGAGGTCGGGGGAGATGCAGGGGCCCCGCCTCGCCTGTTGATAGAGCAGCTGAGGGCGCAGCACAGGGAACTCAAGGATGCGTGACTCCAACTAGAGCAGGAGCGCATGGAGCTCGAGCAAGAGATCGAGCGTCGTAGAGACGGTGGGCATGCGCATGCCATGGCTCGCGATGTGAACCGGAGGATCATCGACGACGATGGAGCCCTCCCACACTTCGCCCAGGCAAGCCAGAACATCGTTGCCGTGGTGGCCTTGCTCCGAGGGCTTCCAGAGCCTGTGACACCCAAGGATCGTCGGGCCAATCGCAAGATCCGCATGCTGCTCGAGCGCGCGGCAGTGCAGCAGGCGGAGAGCGTGCTGTCACAGCGACACGAGCTCGATGCCAGTTAGCATGCGCCCTCGAGACGACATGTCAGGGACGTGTCTGTCCACTAGGCACCGCGCGCCGATGGGGGCGCGCCGTGGCCCCGGTGCATGAGTGCCTCGGCCTCCACCGTGACGCATGTAACAACCTAGATCCCCGTAGGCGTGGAAGAAGCGGCGAGAGAGAGGAAGCTGGCCGCGGCAATCACCCTCGTCACGGCGAACACTACGATAGCGGCGAGGACCGGAGCCCAAACCCGGACATACCAGGACCTCAGGCCTTCGGTCGACACATCCTCAACACCGCCTTCTCACCACGGTACCGATCGCCAACCAACATCTCGAAATACTCTGGGGAAATGAACCTCGGACTATGGCTCAAGGATTACCGGCTTGCTTGCTAAGCCGGTGGAGCGTATAATGATAGTTTCATTATCCGCAACATTCCATTGTTCCTAGCCGATTCGGCGCGAACCTGGTTGGAGCACCTTCCGCCCAACATGATTCAAGGTTGGGCGGACCTAAAGGAGATTTTCGTGGAAAACTTTCAGGGCACTTACGCGCATCCTAGGAACCCGTGGGATCTCAAAAACTACCGATAGAAGTCCAGGGAAACTCTTCGTGAGTACATCCGGTGCTTCTCCCGGCAGTGCAACGAGCTGCCTGACGTCGCCGACGCCGATGTTATAGGAGCCTTCATGTCCAAGACCACCTGTGAGTCCCTGGTTCACAAGCCGGGACACAAGGGCCCATGAACCACTAAGGTGCTCCTCGACATCGCCACCCGCCGCGCCTCGAGCGAGGAGATTGTCCGAGCGATTTTCGACTGCCCTAAGGGCAAGGCGAAGCAGGACGAGGACGCCAGTGAAGGCGCCTCCAACCGCCCCAATAAGAAGAAGAACAAGCAGCAGCTCGAGGGCTTGCTTGTGGCCACTGCCAACCGCAACAGGGGTTGGAAGCCCGCCGAGGGTACCCCAGACCACTTCAAGAAGCTGCTCAAAGGGCCAGGCCCGAACCATGCCTTCCCCGTCAAGCACCTGTACAAAGATGCGTCCTCATGAAGTTGTTCCTGTCCGGTGGCTCCAACAAGGGGGAGCATAGGATGGAGCCCAAGCTGGCGGTAGACGATGCCGAGGGGAAGGACAGTGGCTTTCTAACGTCGGATGGCTGCCTCATGATCTTCGGAGGGTCGGCGGCCTACGACTCCAAGCGCCACCAGAAGCTTGCATGCCACAAGGTCTATACGGCCGAGCCGACTGCGCCTTCCTTCCTCCGATGGTCGGAGTCTGCCATCACCTTTGATCGGACCGACCACCCGGAAAGCGTCCCACAACCAGGAAGATATCCGCTCATGGTCAACCCGATCGTTGGCACGAAGCGGCTCACCAAGATGCTGATTGATGGAGGCAACGGCCTCAACATCATGTACGCTGAGACGCTCGATGCCATGGGCATCTACCGGTCGCTCATCCGGCCAACCGAGGTGCCTTTCCATGGCATCGTGAGTAGAAAGCAGGCCGCGCCGCTCGGGCAGATCGATCTGCCCGTCACCTTCGGGAATCCGACCAATTACAGGACGGAGACCATTACCTTCGAGGTGGTCGGGTTCCACAGGACGTACCACGCCATCATGGGACGTGCATGCTACGCGAAGTTCATGGCCATCCCCAACTACACCTATCTAAAGTTGAAGATGCCTGGTCCATGCCACCTCCTTCCAGCATGACTATGAGTGCGAGGTCGAGTGCTGCGAACACCCCGCATCAAAATTTTAGTTGCATAATCTTGTTTCCAATACAAAACCAGCTGAGTTTTCAATTTATAACATAACCAATGCAGAAAAGTTTCAAGTTGAGATTTCTAGCTAAGAGGGATTACAATGGAAACATTAGGTGCTTGGATTCATCTTCTTGCATGTGCGCAAAGTTATTTAGCTCAGTGGCCGGTGAGCAACCAATGGCCGGATTAGATTTATTAGTAGAAGGTGGCACATGCTTCATATATAATATGGTACTGAAACAAGATGAGGTTTTCACATAGGAAACAAATGAAAGATATTGCTTTTCATAAGAAAGTACATAATCGTATCCAACCGACATAAATTTTAAAGAATAGAACACAACTAAAGAATCAAAGAATCCTCAATGCGTACATAATTAACAAACTGATATGTATGTTCTCTAGAACTGAGCTTGGATGCGGTCAATAGTTTGCTTGTCGACTTGAAAAGCCTTGGCAAGGACATCGTCCGAGATGGATGGCTTGGACCCAAATACAGCGTTGGCCACAGTGATCACCCCAGGGTTTTGGCTACTCAATGCTGCAAGGGCCACGGTGCTCTTTGTTCCATAATTGAATTGGAAATGGATCAATCCCTCAGGGAACACGAACACATCCCCTTTGTTAAGAACCTTTGTGAACAGCTTGTTGTCCGGGTTTGATGTGACAAAGCCGACGTACAGGGAGCCCTCAAGCACAGTCAATATCTCAGTGGCCCGTGGATGTGTGTGAGGAGGGTTAAGACCAAAGGGTGCATAATCGATGCGGGCAAGAGAGATCCCCAAGGTGTTGAGCCCAGCAATCTGAGCCACGTTCACCTGTGTCACAGCAGAGCCTTGCTTGTTGGTTGTGTTGCCGGCCATGTGAAGGCCCGGGAAGAAGAAATCTTCAGCAACAACATCCTTTGCGTCCTTGCATGGGAACCCATTCACACGCACTGCAACAATAATAAGTTAGAAAAAATGTATATACATGGCGGTCTACATGATGATTAGCTAACTAGACAGAACTGATGACCTATGTAAATGTAAAAATAGTTATGTATGTATATACCTGTAGACATCTTATCGACAACACAGAAGTCTTGGAGAAGGCTTGGATCAGAGGCAATGGCATGAAAGCATGACAAAGACAAGAGCGCTGCAGCTAGGAGGAAGGCATGAGTCGCCATATCTGGGTTCTGCTCTTGTTAACAGGAATGAAAGCGAATGATTTGAGGCTCTGAGATGTGAGTAGTGTTGGTTGATGAGGTATCCAAGGATTATTGCTTTGGTGCTAGCTTGTGATAACAAAGCGTGAGGGGAGTTTGATATTTATAGGGAGATAGCCAAGGCCGGATAACCTCTGTGTTGCATCCAGGGAGGTTAGGCAAGAAAAGTCTTCCTGGAATGCGTCATCCCGTGTTTCATTTGGGTTGCAGGTGCCGGCGGAACAGGTCGCTTTACGCGTCAACTATGGCTTAGGAATGTTGTGGCTATGTTTGACTATTTAATCCTTGTGTTTCTATCAGCCATTTGTCGATTGAATGATTTTCCTCGGAAGAGTTACTGGTGAAATCAAAATGTTACATATTTGTAGTTCTGCCGGTGTGTGATATAATACTGCAAAGCATGCAGTAACCATTGAATATAAAATTAAACTTTGTTCATATTATTGAGAATTTGTTTCTGGTGTCACGGAGGGTATATATGGGGGAAATGCTAATTTAGTAATCTGTTAGGCCACCGTACGCATAATTTACATTTAATTATAGCGCAAAAAAAACAGTAATTTCATTCGTGTGCTATTATGGTTAAACTTTGGATATTTTTTATATAAAGAAATGAAGGATTTTATTAATTCAAGATCACTACGAGTTGATACAATAACTCAGAATCTACTTCTAGCCTCTGCAAAGAAAGAAAGAATGAACCTGGCACCCTTCTGAGTTCTAATCATAAGGCTACATCGACGCCCTCGTCTTGGAGAAAAATACCCGGTTTAAATTTGAGCACCTGCACCAGTTGATCTCAAATATCAGGATGTCTAAACTTTGGATATCAGCAAGTTATCTCTCCCGTTCAGCAAAGGCCGTAGTTTATTAATTAGTTTGTTCAATCAGGTTGATATCTCCCAGAGAGAGAGAGAGAGAAGGATAATTAAGCACGCTTTGGACTTGTTCCGGCCTTCTGGGAATTAAGTTAGTGAAGACCGCTTCAACGATTTTCCATGTACAGAAACAGAGCCGTCAGACAGGAAGGCCACGGATATAGCATCAGCAGCTAGCGCACTAAACAGTGAAGCTTCCTAACACCTGATAGTTTGCCGGCCAAATGTTTCTGCAAAGCCCATACCCGGCCATCTAGCTAGTCGGTCACGATTTCGTCTCCCTCTAGATCCTTTCGGCCGTGTCCACCTCTTAACCGGCGAGCAGGGGCCATGTGCACATATTTTCCGCAGCCGCCGGCTAATTCTACATCATGCGGTGCCCACGCCAGTAGCTGTGTCGTGTCCGGTACCATATGTCCGCCGCCTCGCCGGCTGACTTCGCAATTTCGCATCGTCCAGACGTTTGTCCTGCACGCTGCTGCCCTGTTCCTAAATGTACTGAGTGAATCTGTGTTGAGAAGTTTGTCCACGATGCAGCTGTCACAATGGTATATGTAGACCAAGAGCCGGTGGCGGATATGCATGCCGTGCCGTGCAACAGGACGAGAGCGGCTTGGAGCGTGGCCATGTCGATTGTGAATTTGCTGGGTATGGGCTGGACATGGGTAGACCCTGACCCAAACAAGGTCCAGATAAATACTAATTAATATACACGGTAAATAATTAGAGAATTGAAGCTTCTCCCTCTCCAGATGCATCCTGGTGTCTGGATCCAAAACGGAGGTGCGCGCACCTCGGCCAGTTAGCCATCAAACAGGCCTCAGCGTCTGCCTGACATCTACACGACGGTCGACGGATATCGACCACAACGTTTACTGGACAAGTCCTCAGGAAACGTTTTCTCTTGAGCGTGAACCAACCTGCTAACAAGCGTTCAATGATGCATCAACTCAACTCCGTATACATCCACCTGTGATTTTTCAATCGATCCACCTGCAGGACGTACATTTTAGGCGACATCAGGTTGCAACTGAATTTACCTAAGCATGTTTGCCAGGTTGTTTAGTGAACATACTGTTGCCATCTCTACTAATACATGCATGAATGAAATAACTAAAAGGATCTACATCAAAACTTGATTATATCCTAATCGTTCATCTTTCATGAAGAGTCATGTATCAGTGATGTTGTCACTATCACGCTCGAAGTATTGTTTTTATAATATAGATGATAAAGATCAAGAAACGAGCTTTACATTCTCTGCATGTAATTAGATTTGAAAATTACTTAATATGTACGTTTAAGCCGTAAGTCACATGTGTTGCCGTATGCGTGGATAAAAAACTGCAATCCCTGTGCAACGCACGCACAGGTATAAATTAAAATATATAAAAAAAATCATCTCTTTTTTCGATTCACCTCTTTCTAATTGCTCGGCATCACTCTTCTTCCGTCATCATTCATTTAGTTTGGAGTTGCAAAAACATTATATATTGATATTGCACCTACCATGCCCTAGAATATCCGGTCAAGCTCCAATCCATACGCGTTGCAACTGACACATGTGTGTGACTGGTTCCACCTTTTCTAACATCACAACTGATGTATACAATAGCCACCTATTTAACTTGAATCAATATCGGATCAATTTTCATATGGATAAATCCTCTGTTACGGGTAGTAGTTTATGAGCATTCGAACTTAAATAAAATAAGGTTAGGCTAAACTCAGACTAATAAGTCAAATTAAATTTAACACAATACAACTGGGAATAGTTTGTTCGTTTCGTATGTATGCAGTTTTGTCCGCATTTTTTTCCAGTGTCTATTTGTTTTTATGCTCCGTTATCCGCCACTTCCCCCACTTTTTCGTCCCTGTTTGTTTGTTTTTTTTGTCTCTTTCTTGTCACCGTTTGCTTTTTATCCTTTTCCGGTTTTTTTTTCTTTGCGGCCCCGTTTGATTTTTAATCGAGTAGTCTTGTTGTGTTTTCTTTATTATATCCCGTAAACATAAAAAAACAAATACGCAAATACTTGCCCACGGTCGTCCATCCCATCCGCACGCTGCCTTACTAGGCCAGCGCAGCAGACAGGCCCAACAGGCGTGCTTACCTCTAAATTTCTTCTACCTTCGAAATCTTTTTCTCACTCGCACTCGCATCGGTGTCGCGGCCTCACCGCACATCCACCTGCCCCACTCCACCCTGCCGTGCCCCCCTTCCCTCACCGCGGTCCGTCCCCTGCCCTGTCGTGCCCTTCCTCCCACCGCGCCGCACACCATCACCGGCCGTGCCGCGCCCCAATGCCCGCGAGCGGACTGCGCTGAACAACTGCGGCTGAGCAGCAATGGCGCTGTAATAGCAGCAGCGGGGCCACGACGATGGGCGCGAGCCTATGCCGCGAGCAGGCATTGGAGAATGGTAGGAGCGATGGGCCACGCCGACGGGCACGAGCGCGCGAAGCGACGTCCCCTGACCCGACTTGCTGGCTACCGCAATTCCCCACCAGGTAGACCGTGGCGGCGATGCCGTGTTTTAAGTGTTTCAGGCGTTTCAGGCTTATTTTTTGAGTGTGTTCATCTCGATGTTGCAAAAGTATATCTGAGATGTTGCATATGTTGCAATGACAATATACACATGTTGCAAGTGTACGTTTTCAAGTGTTTCAGGTGTTTCGGACATATATTTGAAGTGTTTCTTCTTAACGTTGCAAAAGTAGATCTGAATGTTGTATATACATGCATGTTGCAAGAGTTTATTTTCAAGTGTTTCAGGTATTTCATATGTATGTTACAAGTGTTTTATATGGATGTTGCATATGTTTTGGAATGGCTACACACGTGTTTTTCAAGTGTTTCAGACATATCTTGCAAGTGTTTCAGCGGTTTCAGACGTATGTTGCAACTGTTTCGTCTGGGTGTAGCAAAAGTAGATCTAAGGTTACACAAGTTGCAATAGAACCCACCTACTGCAACCGCTTGCTATAGTTGCTGGGGCGCCATGCATGCGCGTGGGAAGAGAGGGGGATGGAGGCGGGGGCACGCATGCACCGGGCGCGAGAAGTGGAGGGGAATGGGCGTGCAGCCCCGTGTGCATGCGGGCCCTCGAAGTAGATGGGGCGCAGGTGTCCGAACAGAGGCGCAGAGGTTCCCGCGTGTGCACAACGCACGTGAAATGGATTAGCAACGCCGGTGTCCTGACACAGACGTCCATCCAGACGTCCGGGCGCTAGCCACGTTCCTCTACTCTCTGTCTACTCTACTCTATCTATCTATTTATCTATCTACCTGCCTATGCCCAATCTATATCTATACCTAATACTAGAGTACCAAAATTTCTGCTACAATTTTCCTCATCCAACTCTAATCTCTATTAGGATTCTGATTTTTTGTCCAATAATCCTCTTTTTAAAATCCCGCGCAGTTTGGATCTAAATCTTTAATAATTTTCCTTTGCTTGGTCCGTGTCCGTGTGAGGTTCAGCAGGTAGAATTTTTTTGGGCTTCCATCCGATCTCTTTTTTGTTTTGGATTTTTTTTTTGTTTCTAGTAGTCTCCGTTTATCCGCTCAAGTGATTTATCTATAAAAATAAAAACAAATAATAGATACAATATTATTCGCGTTTGAACCATTGACTTTTCTCTGAAAAATAAAGATTTTTACTGCCAAGTTGTAAACCTAATTTTGATTAGAAACGTGTTCTTGTTAAAACCTAGGGAGTGCTCGGCTGGCATTAAGTTTCTACTGTAGCAGCTCAAAACATTGTTTATACAGGAATTTGGTAAAGAAAAACACTGTTCCGGCTGAAAAAAATAGGCCGGCCAGCCAGCCGAAGCCAACCAGCCGAACACGCCCCTAGATTATCCAATGGTTTATAACTAATTAAAACGTGAACTGAAATCTTGAGCAGCTTATTGTCTAATCTGCTCTAAATAAATGTATCTATGCAATCTCCGAGCACAGCTACCATGTGAAAAGTCATGAGAGGTAATTTTCCTTTCCTTGGTTTATGTCTTTGTGAGGTTCAGCAGTTAGAATTTTTGCGGCTTCTATCCCATCTCTTTTTTGTGTTGGATAGTACTCCGA